GGCCCTCGCCTCCCTCACCCCTGCCCCGGGGCGCGGGCTGCGGCTCTGGCCAGGCCGAGAAAAGCCCCGTCCGGCCTGACAGCGAGCCCCGCCCGGGCTCCCAGGGGGCTTCAGCGAGAGCCGCAGTCCCCGGCGCTGCAGACTGAGCTGTGAGCTCGGCTCGGCTCGGCCCGGAGCGGGTCCTGCGAGGCCTGCAGCCTTGTAACGACTCCCCGCCTCTCTCTGGACAGCTTCTTCTGGACACTCCTGTGTCCTGGTTTCCCTACGGCTTCTCCCTGCTGGTTGGTACCCAGAGCCCTGAAGACAAGAGGGGAGGCTTCTCCTGGCCCAGCTCCGCAGTCAGCTGCAGGGGGGAGAGGGCAGCTCGCTCTGCGGTCTGGGGACCAGGTGGGGGAGTTGTTCTGGCCTCTCTCTGTCTCTGGGGGTAAATCAGGGCAGCCGGCTCTGCCCTGTGGAGGACAGCATCCCAGACCCGGCACAGGGCTGTTCCAGGGCTGATCAGAGCCCTCAAGAAGGGATATTCCTGGCACTGAGTACAGATGGGGCAGACAGGGCTGGGTGGAGGGCTGCCATGCCTTGGAAGCATGGGAGGGGCACGTGCTGAGTGAGAGGCTGCCAGCAGCTGTGGGGAAAGAGCCTATGAGGGAGTGTCTAGAGGTGCAGCCCAAGAGGGGAGCCCTTAGTGACTGCCTCTCCTCCCCCGGTGATCTGTCCTTCTTTTGAATGAAGAGGCACTGGAAGCTTTGTGTCTGGGCTGGGCTCTCAAGTTGCTGGTTATCAGCCTCCAGGAGTCACTTCTTCTGACAGAAGCAGCAAAGACATGGCAGGACACAGACAAGTGGGGATCCTGGGTGCTTATTCAGGCAGCTGAAGCCTATGTTGCCATGGCTGCTTCGCTGCTGTTGGTACCCAGGCTAGTCAGATGACAGCTTGTTCAGGTAGGTCTGTTTACCCAGGTTGCAGTCACACCCCAGATAGCAGCATGGATGTGGATAGGGGGGCAAAGAACTCCCAAAGACCTTTGCACTGCAGGGGTGGATGTTTCCAGATTTGCTGTGACTTTTGCATCTTCAAGAGGCAGTGGATCGTGTACAGCACTGGGCTGCTGCTTTGCACTCTACCTGGGGACACCAGAAAGAGCTGGGGAGCTAGGTGTGCGCACTTCCCTTCTCTAACCAGGTCAAATGAACTTTAATAAAAGGCTTCCAGTACACTGGGAAAGGCAGATCACTGCCCTGCTGTACGACCAAGGGGAATGGCACACAGACTGTGGCACCATCTGTGCAGGATATGAAGATAGGATTTTTTCCTCCTAGTCATGGGCATCACTTCACCTGGTTTAGAGGTTGTAGTAAACATGTTCACCATGTAACTGGAGCTGCCCACACATCTAGACTGTGCTCAGGTTATCTGGGCTAGGCAGATACCGGTGACTGTTAATAGAAATGCTCAGGAAGTGGAAAAAATAGGTCTGACCTTTTTGATGTCTTTGTCAATTCCTCCCCACCTCCAATTTCTGTTAACTACACTGCTGTTTCTGAGAGCAGCTTTGTGGAAAATGCTCTTTTTGGGCCTCTAACAGTATTGCTATAGTGGTATTATGCTTGGTGGTGGTCATGGAGATGAAACACTTAGAGTAGTGCAAAAGTGATGCAAGCAGAATATGCGCTGACTTGGCACACAATGTGGGTGAAAAAGCAAAAGAAACAGCAGTTACCAAATACATTAATTTTGCTTCTTCCTCTGCTAACCCTCCAAGGGGTTCAGTGGCTGAGTGGTGACTGGGTGTTGCAGCAACTCCTGAGGTATAAGGTTCAGCCCTGCACTGAGCTAATGCTGAAAGCTGTCCCCTTTTGACCCAAATGTGTATTTTTGTCATTCACGCTGTAGAGTCAAGGTGGTCTAATATGATGCTAGCTACATCACTGCCTTGTGTGCTGTTGGCTTCAGGAACTGGCCCATTGCAGTGCATTGAGCATGCCGTTTGACCTGGACCTGGACCCTGACCCTGTAGCTGCAGTGTGAATGTTCTGCCTTAACAAAGTTATAATGAAAGGACAACTTGTTCTAGAAACCTTGGATGCAAGGAGAGGTGAAGAGGCAACTACACGCAGCCCTAAATTTGTGTGGGGCTCTTTCAAGTGTGTGTGGTGTATACAAATGGGCATAGGAACTTCAGACTAATTTAACCAGTCCTGCCGCTAATTGGCCCATCCAAAGCTCTGTGCTGGTACAGCTATACTGCCTCCAGGTTAGGAGGCAACCCACACAAATAGCCCAGTAAGCTTTTGAGGTTCTGCTACTGGACACAGTAAGGTCACCACATAGATACAGCTGCTCAGAACTATAGTGAAGGCCAGGGAGGTTATTGCAGTCAGTAGAGCTGCCTTGTGATGGATGCCTGTAGATGTAGCAAGAACAGCAACTCCAGCCCAGCCCAGCAAACATGTTATTCTTTTTATCCACCTGACAAGGACATTGAGTACTTTCCTTTTCATGTTCTTGTGACAATGTGTTTAGCAGAATTCACAGATTTGTTGGAATCTGACAGGTTGCACCATGAGTGTGTTTCTGCTATGGCCTCAAACTTGCAACCTCTAGGCTGTCAACCATGCGCCTTAGTGCCAATGCAACCCCAGCCCCTGGACATTGATTCATATCTTTAATATTATGGTCCATTAATTGAAATGAACTAAATGGGCCCAGAGGGACAAAGATGTTAACCTGATCCTGACCTGACACTGAGACCTTGGCTGGCTTAGTTCCAGGGCAGACTTATCGCTGCTAAAATCCCCTTGTATTCCAGGTACAAGAAAAGAAGAGTGGCATTTGAAATGTGAAGTTTTGGGTAAGGCTTGTTTGGGAACTGCTGACTTGCAGTAGGAACCTCTACCCACCAAGAATGGTTAATGTTATTGTGTTCCTTGGGCTCTGTAACTTATGTTTACTCTTCTCTCCAAAAGGTGGAATTGGGCAGTCTCGCATCCTACTGATTCACTTCCCATCTGTGCTGTTGCACTGTCCCCTGCATGCATCAGACTCCCGTGGAGCCGTGGTCTCCCTCCGCTGGTCTGTGCTTGGATCTGAGACTTTCCCTTGCCGTTCTATAATGGCAAGGCAGCTGTGGTGCTGAATAGAATTCCATTAGCTAGTGGTACAGCGCATAGCCTTTTCCCTCTTGTGTCAAACTGGAACAGAAATCCTTGTCCCTGAGGACCTGGAAGAGCTCCAGCATGGGAGCCTCCAGCATGGGAGCTGGGCAGCTGACTGGTGTGATGCTCATGGTATGCATTTGGCTCCCCATGGTAGCTGCTCAGAACCTCATCAAGAACCCCAGGGACCAGAAAACAGAGCATGCACTTCTGATAAATGAGATCAATGCAGACAACCCAGGAGAAGACACCTCTGAGTTTGTGGAGCTATATCACACCAGTGGTCGAGCAGCCCCCTTGGATGGCTACTACCTCATCTTTTACAATGGCAATGGAAACCTGGCCTATAGAATCCTGAACCTCAAGGGCTACACCACAGACAGCCAAGGCTTCTTCCTCATTGGGTCCTCCACAGTACAGCCTCGCCCCGCAGTGATCTTTCCTAAGAATACTATCCAGAATGGCCCTGATGCTATTGCCCTGTACTATGGGAAAGAGAACTTCCAGGAAGGCATGCATGTCACGAGTGATGGTCTGGTGGATGCCTTGGTCCATAAATCTAAGAAGACTGACAGGGCAGATGTGTTGCTCAGTGTTTTGACCCCCGACAGGGGTGCATTCCTGGAGGACCCCTCCTTCAGGATCTTGGATGAGTCAATAGAAAGGTGCCGTGGAACAGATTCTCAGTGGGTTTTTCAAGTGGCGATGCCCAGTCCTGGCAGGGACAACCATTGCATCTCCTCTTCTCAGCTGAATGCTTCTGCTGCACTGATCAATGAAGTCCACCCCATGTCCTCTCCTGGGGAGTTTGAATTCATAGAGCTTCAAGGACCTCCTTCCACCATGCTGAGGGACTTAGTTCTGGTGCTGATTGAAGGGCTTACCAAAGAAGTTTATTTCTTCATGGATGTTTATGGCAAAACCTCTCCGGACGGCCTACTTCTGATTGGCTCAGTCCAAGACAAAACCCCAGGTAGGACTCCAGACTTCTGGTTGCTGGGGCCTGTGCATATCTGCAAGATGGGATTATGGGTATCAGATATGCAAAGCATCTGTCCTTCGCTTTGGGAAAATGTCTTTTTTATTCTGGGTTTCTACAGTGTCCACTTCAATAGACCAACTGGGGACCTGAGGTGTTATGATAATACAAATAAATCACCAGTCTCTCTCCTTTCCTGTTCTCCCCCAAAGTACATCCCAAAGGTGAACCTTCTTGAGGAATTTTGTGTTAGTGTTTTGCTGCTAGGTGTTTTGGGGACTGTGGAAGACCAGGTCATTTACCTTCTCTGGAGAAGCAAGCTCCATTTCCTGGTCTGCCACTGTCCTGTTTTGAACTAATTACTTTTCTCCCTTCTGTACCCTTTTCTCCATGGGAGTAATATTTGTCCTTCCTTGTGAGACACTCCACTGTAGAAGGGCTGGTGTTGTCCTCCCTGTCCTTAAAAATCTCTTCCTACAACCCCACCGAAAAACAATAGAAAAGGAACTACAAAAACCCACCAGCATAATTTTTTTCTTCTCTTTTTTTTTTTTTTGAACCAGACATGAAACAACCAGCCTAGGCTTATATGTATCTATTGGACTGGGAACTGGACTTCCTTCCAACTTCTGAAACTTCCTTTACGGTAACAGATGGGGAACAGATATTTACAGAAATTGGCCACACCAAAGGAAGAATTGGGCAGCTGGAAATGCTGACTCCACATATGTCTTGTATAACACTGCCCATGTCACAACTTTTGAGTTGGGATGAGTTATCTCCCCAAGGGATGACGACTAGGTCGAATGGTCATAAACTACTACAAGACCGTTTCAGGCTGGACATAAGGAAGAATTTCTTTACTGTCCGAGCCCCCAAGGTCTGGAACAGCCTGCCCCCGGAGGTGGTTCAAGCGCCTTCATTGAACACCTTCAAGAGCAAACTGGATGCTCATCTTGCTGGGATCCTATGAACCCAGCTGACTTCCTGCCCTTCGGGCAGGGGGCTGGACTCAATGATCTTCCGAGGTCCCTTCCAGCCCTAATGTCTATGAAATCTATGAAATCTCTTATTATCTGGTCCTTGCATTGCAAACCTAACTTTAAGTAGTGTGATTACCCTGGATGCTTTTGTAAGGCCAGCCTGATCACCTAAAGAGAGGCTGAAGTTCTTTTCAAGGTGAAGCTTGCTTAGTTTATGAAAGGGATTATATGATATAGCTCTCTGCGGTAGCAGAGGACTGGAGCCAGTAACCTGCAGCATGGTGCCTTTTTCAGTCCTCTATTCAAAGCTTAAAATCTAACCCACCTAAAACAAAGGAGCCAAAGGCAGTTTCAGATCTTTTCCCTCCCAGTCATTGTGGTTTGCAGTCACTACTTCATTTTGTTTCTGAGAGGAAGAATGGTCAGTGGTCAGGTTGCTGGCTTGACATTCAATTCCAGATACTGCCACAAGATTCCTGTGTGGCCTGTGGTAAGTCACCTAGACTCAGATCTAGTAAAGGATGTGGGCACCTAGAAGGTTGGTACAAAAGCAGTGATACCCAGTGGTAAGTGTCTGGGATCACTGTAGAGTTCATAGGGAGAGTTAGGAACCTCAGGATGATTTTAAAACAGCCAGCATGCTAAATCAGTATGCACCTGCATAGAGATAGTCAGTGGGCAAATGCTGAGGGCATGCGTGAGACTTAAATCCTGTCTCCCTCTCTCCCCAGATAGCTTACCTCTGGATCCACAGCCCAGACCCTTCTTTGGAAGACAAGGGTCTATGCTTTTCCTTTCAGAAAACTGAGCAGACTTGTAGGGCTGTGTGAAATGGTTATGTTTCATTTCAGTTTCAGATTCTGCTGTTTCAGAGGGCAGCGATTTGTTTTGGTGTTTCAGATCACTGTTCTGTTGCAATTCGGCCGAATCTGTTTCAGCGTTTTGACGCTGTTTCGGTGCTGATTCAGATCAGCCGGGGAGAGCCAGGCACAGCCGAGTGGCTGCAGGTTCTCCCACGGCTCGTCTGGTTGTGTCTGCCTCTGCCCTGGCAGGAGGAGCCACAAGAAAAGCCCCCATGGCTTCCCTGCCCAGCCCCATCCCCTCCTAGGCCCCAGCCTCCTGTCACTTAAGAAAGCCCCACACTCACTGGCTGCAGCAGCTGGGATCAGAGCATCTGGGGGCTCATAGCAGAGCCCCCCCATGCAGTGTGGGGCAGTGGGGATCACCTCCCCCTGCCTGGCACCCGCACGGCAGCTGCCCGATGGTGCAGGTGCAGCATAGCTTGGGAGGGCACCACATGCTGTGTGGGAGTTGGGGCTGCTGGGGCTGAGTGCTGCTGGGCTCTGGCTGACTGCTGGAGCTGCCCCAGCTCCCAGACAGCATGCGGTATCCTGCTGAGCCGTGCTGCACCCGTGTGATGCGACAGCTGTGGCGCAGGTGCCAAGTGGGGGGGCAACCCCCGCTACCCCCCACTGCCCTGCACTGCACGGGGGGGGCTCTGCAACATGTCCTCAGAGGCCCTGATCCCCAGTGCTACAACTGGTGAGTGCGGGGCTTTTATTCTTTTTAAAGTGCCAGGAGGCTGGGGCCTGGCAGGGGATGGGACCGGGCAGGGCAGCCATGGGTGCTTCTCCTACAGCTCCCCCTGCCGGGGCAGAGGCAGGCACAGCCAGAGGAGCTGCAGGAGAAGCCCCCATGGCTTCCCTGCCTGTCCCCATCCCCCGCCTGGCCCCAGCCTTCTGGCACTTTAAAAGAAGGGCTGCGGGGCTGTGCTGGACTATTCCCAGGGGGTGCCTCTGAAACATATCCAAAACATGTTGGATGGTTTTGTTTTGCTTTGGAGCCTTTCATTTCATTTCAGATTCAGTGTTTTGGGTGCTGAAATGGGCCAAAACACCTCCAAAATGAAATGGCTGCCAAAATTTTGCACAGCCCTACAAATTTGTGCTTTCAGGTCACAGCTGGAAGAGAAAGTGGCACTATTTTCCCTTCATATAACAGCCCAGGAGTTAGAGCACTCATCCAGAAGGTGACAAATCTGTGTTAAATCTCTTCCTCTTAGTCAGGGAATTTAAACCTACATCCCTACTCCCCAAGAGAGCACCTCTAAGTAACCACCAGGCCATACACTGTTCTGAGCAGGCCCCTTTCAACCCCTCACAATTGAGCTGTTCCACTGTACAGAAAAACATTACAGATTTGGTGGGCCAGCGAGGCTGGGGCACATCTTGTGGCTCAGGCCCTCTTCTGGGAGATGGAGCCCTGGGTGGTGGTCCCTGCTCCAAGAACTGTTTTTCACATTTCAAACAAAAGTTTATCAGAGCAAGAGCCAGAGACCAGGACTCCGATCCCCCCAGGAGAGTGCCCTAACCAGTATGGCATGCTCTCATTAGCCCAGTACATCTTGAGTTGTTGTCTGCCCAGTGG